ACCACGCCTCGGACAACTTTTTCGCTAAAAAAAATGTTGTTTAAAATTACGTCAGGAACCTCCCATTTCAATATCTTACATTAGTTTTTGGACACTTTGTAAAATAGTAACAGAAGGAATCATCAAACTCTTGCAGAGGAAGAACGACTCGTTCAAATAATAATAATAATAATAATTTGTCCGAGAAATAACCGTCCAGCTTCACTCTAGAGCTCGAAACGAAGGAATTCAGCGTTCTATCGTATCACAGTCACGACTCTACGATACCGCGTTAGGTCCCCGACGGTTCGATCGAACCACGCCGCTAAGCTAAACTGAAACTACCGAAAGTGGAACATAGTAAAAAATTCGTTTTGAACCTGTCCACTGCAGCAAGTACAGTCCCCTTTCTCATACACTCTCACTGAAAGAAACGACTCGCTCTCCGGCCCTCCTCCGCGACATCTCCCCTTCGCGAGACTCCGTAAATACTAATCCCACCAAAATCGTCGATGATTGAAGTGACCCCGGCAGCACCGCGCCGTGTGATCTTGACGTGTCATGTGGGAACGCTACAGCCATTTGTTTCGAACCACGCCGGAGAGCCTGCGTCCCCACATAAGGTTATATCATACGATCGTCCCCTGTATATGTTGCGGGTCCTGCGTGCCAGATTGGATCTGCGGCGACTGCGGGCCCATCGGACCCGGCAGACTCGGCGGGTCGTACAGTCCACCGAGAGATCCGCCTAGAACCGGGTCCATGTTCGACCTCAGAGCAGCGGTCAACTCCGGCATCGAAGGGAGACCGACGTCCAGGATCCCTGTGTTACTGGCACCACCCGTCAGCGAACCCTCCTCAGGCGGAGTCACTTCTAACCCGATAGATCCGTTCAACGCGATTTTAATCGGGTTGTGATTCGACGGGTACGACAGGGCGGCCAAACCGATGTCCTCCAGGCTGCTCTTTCTCCTACTGATACCCGTCAAACCTTGCCGCAACGAGTTACTGCGCCTGAGGAGTATGTCGTCGACGACTCTCAGAGAATTCGATCGTCCTCGAAGCGCACCGGCCACAGTCGGGCTGTCCGGCAGGGACAGAGAGTTCGACTTCGTGTTGCTCAATGGTGGCGCTCGGGGCAGGCCGATGCCCGAACCGCGGCGGCTTCCTGGCCCGGCGCCCGGTAACCCGGCTGAAGCCACCTGGGACACCAGCTGAGCGGAACAGAAGCTGATGTTGCTCTTCCGCCGTGAGTTGTGCCGCTCGAACGTCTTCTGCGCTGAAAATGGGCTTGGTCGGACTAAGTAAATGATATCGCCCTCTTCGAGCTTCAGGTCACAACTTGGGTTGATTATGACGTAGGAGAGGCTGTTACGCTTCTCCGAGACGTCGTCGTAATCGGCCACCGGCAGGTTCAAGGACTCCATCCGTGAACGGACCAGGTTTGCGATCTCCGCCCTCTCGATTTGCTGAGCGTGGTTGTCCCGCGCCTCGTCCCCGAGGCTCACCGAGTACTGTTTCAAAAAATTTAACTCGTTTTAATATATGCAGTTTTTAACAGACTGTTGTACGAGTAACACGCTGTGCTCTTCTAGACAAACTGTCACTGAGTTATTCTGTTTATTAAGGGGTTAGTAACATGATTTTCTTAAGAGTTCTTTATGTTTTGTTTCTTTTTAAATCCGTCTTGTTGATAACCAGGCAAAAACAGTGGTATATTTATAGTATTATAATGAAGCCTAAGAGCTACCCCATGATATTCATGTGGGCAGAGCTCTCAGGCTTTTGGTCTACCCCTTAAGGATGTATAGGCTATATACTTAAAAAATGCTAGCATGTTGAATATGTTTTTTTTTGCAGGAAATAGCAGTACCAACAACTTTTATTTGAAGCATCTTTCGAAATTCCGCGAAAAAAAAATTTTCCGGGATTTTTCCACAGAGTACCCACTTCAGATTTTGCGAAATTGCCTTTTTTTGCCAATAACTCACAAACTGTTGGACCTATAGGGAAATTGCATAGGACCTTATTTGTAGCTGATAATGAGAGCTACAACTTTTGTCTAAAACATTTTTTTAAATCGTCTGTAGTTAACGAGTAATTTGCGATAAACTGTTTTCTCGGTTTTTCTCAATAACTCGCTAAATATTGATGCTAGGGAAAAATGTTTCATATAAAACTTGTAGCTCTAATCGTCAGCTATAAAAAAAGTCGTATGCGATTTCTCCGTGAGTCCAACGGTTTAGGAGTATTTGAGGAAAAACGAAATCTTTTGTCATAAGTTTGCTGTTTGGACGATGGGACAGTCGGATTTCGTCAATGCCAATAAAATGTCAATTAAGTGCACTTAACTCGTTAAATACTGGCGTTAGAAGAAAAATGCATAGAACCTTTCTTGTAGAGGACGTCAGTGCCTACAATTGCTGTATAAAAAACTTTTCGCCAGCGTCAATAATTAATTGGATATTTTCTTCTATATTTTTTAGCACGTAGCTAAGTGTTAAATTATTCGTTAATTATCAGCTTTAGAACTAATAAAGGTCAGTACTTTTTTACTCAAAATTTAAAGCTCTTCGATATTTTGATACAAAAAATATAGAATTCCATATAAAAAAAACAAAGTTGACCTTCAAATCTCCCAAACGCCACTACTTACAAAACGAAAATGCTAAAAATTTGTGATAGGAAAGTACTTATATAAACATTACAACAAATTCTATCAATTTTTATTGTTTAGAAGTCGATTGAACATTAACAAGTTAACTTTTTTCATCCTACGTGTGATTTATTTTTAATTATAAGGAATGCGTTTTTCTTAGGTACATTAACTTTTGGGATTGACTGTATAGCCAATACATCCTTAAATCCGGATCTTTTAACAGAACCTTGTGAAACGTGAACTGTGTGTACGTGAAGGGTTAAAACGAGCGTGACAAGTTGACGTTTGTCGTTTTGCCGAACATCAACAAAATCAGTCGTCGAGAAATTCGTCAAAGTGCGAAATCAACGGTACGTCAAGGCGGTGAACATGAGAGCAAAGAGTCGGGAGGGTTCAAACCGAAACTGCTTGGCGTACGCTGATCATGCGGTTGCAATTGCTATGCATCGAGACACCGACAGAAAGAAAATTGAACGAAAGTAAAGAGTGACGCGTGAAAGAGAGAGAGAAAGAGAGGAAGAAAGACATTAAGAAATAGATAAGTGGAGAGACCACGCGCACAGTCCATAGTAACAGAGAGAAAGAGAGAAAGAGCATGGCGAAACGGTAGACGAGACACGTTACAGAAAAGCCGATGTCGAGAGATAAACGGCGGACCAGCAGGCATCGTCGACTCTGTACTCACGGCTGATGCACCCTTGTCGCGCGTCGCGCAATTCGCAAGGCACGAGGCTGCCGCCGAATGACGCACCTTGTACGTCACGCCGACGCCGGCGTCGCTCTCTGCGTCTGAGTCGCCCTGTCAAAACGACAAGCAATTCTACCCTTACTGAGGATGGGCCCACTGTCGGTCGCGATTTCTTGCTCACGCCGCTGCTCCTCGTCTTACTTTCTCATTCTAACATTTTATTCGTCTAATCTTCCTATCACTCACTTCGATGCTCACGTACTTCGCAAACTTCCTCCGTGGACAAAATCGAATCAAACTCTTTGTGTCAAAAAGGATTGCTCTATCACTGTTCGATTCCAAAATGAAGTATACTCGTAGTCCCGAGAGTCTAGGATCATTTCGCGCAGATTGAAAGAAGGTCTGTAGCCTACTACTGTTCATTAAATAAATG